AGTTATATGACGTCTTGGGATGAGACATGTTGTCCTATAACACCAATAAGCACATTGAGTGTTATGGAATAAGTTGAGAAGAGATGTCACTGCAAGAGGGTGGGGAAGTTATTTTATTTAAAGATTATGAGGGCACATTAATAATAAAAAAATAATAATGATGTGCATGTATAAATAATTTATAATAATAGCAATATTCAATTTTAAAAAAATCACTTCATGGTGATTTTTAAGTCTGACATTATGGCAAAACAAACCCTGAAAGGGTCATCAGCACCCCATCAAGGAGCATCGATCCCTTGGGTAAAGCCTCCACAGAGGTTAGTCGGAAGAACAAGATCGAGATTGAGATTGCCTACTGTAGGTTATAGAGAAATACACTGGATTTTCACTAATTCCTCATGAAAGTGGTTTAAAGTGGGCTAAGGAGGGAATGCCTTTGTAGACAACTCCTCAAATACATTAAATTCCTGCTTGTTTACAGGGAAACTTAATCCTTAATTCTTTTAAATAAAGCTCTGCTAACAACAGGACTGCATGAAAAAGCAGCTTGCAGCAGGAAGAGGACATGAGGCGGAAGTAACCTGACCAGCTGGGCCTTCACAGCCTTCTAAGCAGCATGTGATTCCTCACAATAATAATCAAAGAATGAAATTAAATCTTCATCTTACAGCTTAGGTGTTTTTATCGGGGGAAACAGTATTGGTACATATACACAAGAGAGCAGGTCTGTTCTGAAGACCACAGTTGTGTTCCTCTTTTGCATGTTTGGATTATGTTAGATGTATATGTTGAATGTAAAATTTGAGTACCTGAAGAGTGACCTGTTGAGGTGCAACTGCATTGGAATATCTGGGATGCCAAAGGTCAGCTGAACATGTGTGATGAAAACATTACATTGCCTACAATATTTTACATTTAGGGTCAGTCGATTAGTTATTTGGCTCCCAGCAATCTGTTGGCAGAGTCGAGAAAGCAAACACAGAGGGTAAAAGTGCGTTTGAACGGAGTCGTGAATGGAAAAAAGCGGGCATGGCGTGGGAGGAACAGTCTCTTAGCGTTCACATTCATAGCCACCTAACTTGCCAAGGTTAGGGGTTAATGTGTTTCCATGGAAACTGAAACACTGGAGCCGTGAGACTGAGGAGAGATTTGCCTTCGATTTCTTTCTTTCTTTTTTTCAGATGAGATGAGAGGACAGATGACAGAAAGTGATACAGATTCAGAAGAGGAGACATAATTGCTAAAACATAGCAACCTAGATGGGGATTTGGTCTGATAGGATTCTTTCCCTATTCAAGTAGATTCATGTTGGGGTTATCAAGATTTTTTTTTTAAATAAGTCGGTTTTGCTCTGTATTTATTTGATTAAAATTACAGTAAAAATAGAGTAACACTTTTCATTTGTTCTACAAAACTGGTTCAGAAATTTTTTTTATTAGACAATGGTAATTTAAATGTACACTATTTCAGTCCTCTAGTGGTTAAAAAACAAACCTATATACGTGGTCTAAAATACAAACACTTACAATAGGCTGAATTAGGGTAGAAAAAAAAACATTACATAGTGTAACCTACCTTTAAAAAATTACTTAGGCTATATCTTTTTAAAATCCGAATTAATTGTATTTGTTAAAATTTTTGCAACATTTTACAAACATTAAGGCAATTTCAGACAGGCTAACAATAGCAAGCTAGCAGCTTTAAAAGCATAAGATCCCACCCTCCCTTCATAGCACTCTTTCCCCGCAAAACACAGAATTTTCCATTATTTGTAGGTTATGAAACAGCTTACTCACCAAACATAATTTTCCGTGTTTCCACAACCGTGGCCAATTCAAACCTCACAGACAAACGCCAACGTTTGTGTGGTGGTTTTGTATTGATCATGTTCCCGTGGTTTCCACCCGACGGAACGTGTTCAATTAGCGTCTGTTTGTGTCTCTTTAGTTGGGGCAGTGTAAACGTGACCGTTTTTTCCATGATATTCTAAATCCAACAGCCAACTTGTTTGTTGGCGTTCGTCTGTGTGGTGGTTTGAACTTTCATACGCTAGGGGGCGCTATGACACATGTTACTTCCGGTTTCTTGACTGGCTGCAGTAACACGTCTCTGTCCATGCGGGGGCGCTCGCGTGCACAATGAATGGGAGTCTATGGGGTTTCACCAGCAGAAAATCCACTTTTCTCAGGATGTAATTTTTTGTCAAGTAATTTGAAAGTTTTATTCAAAAGGGAGGGCTAAGATAATACACTCAGCTGAAAATTGCATTTTTAAGTTCACTTACCTGTTCCGGCCAACGGCCTAAGCTGTAATAAATCGAAAGGACAAAAGTACTCGTTCATTCGACTTTTGGCCTATATTGAACTTGTGGAATCAACAATAAAACCTATGTTGATTCAACGACAAGCAGGAGAAAGAGACGCATAACCGTTTAGCTCCCATTCATTCTGCACTCGCCCGCGATCACCTCCAGTGGAATTCTAATGGATCTGCAACCAAGATGATACACAATGGGGCTAATAGGAAGTGCCAAGGCTCTCCGTTAGACGGGATCTGTGGCTACTGACACTCCTGATCAAAGCACATGCGAAGAAGATGCAGAAACAAACGATATCATTAATATAAAATAACACGATCATCAACAGTAAACAGCATATAAGTCAAAACGGCGTAATGTTACTGAATGAAATGTCCACCCAGGATGAGCTATTGGACAGTGCAAGCATTAAGGCTGTTGACTCGATTTACTACATGTTTTGAACATCTTTCTGAATCCGATATGGTAGCCTTAAACAGAAACGTGATTTTCTCAGCTTTTTGTTCAAAATAATGAACCTTATCGAGCTTTTTGATACTGTTACCAGAGAAACAAATAAATGTGAACAGCTCCGGGTAGAAGGTCACTGCTTTCTATAGAATTACGGTAATGACATGACGTGAGTGTTCAGGACAGGAAAAACTGTAAAAGACAGCTGCTGTTCTGTGTGGAGCTCGGTGACTGTCTGTCTACAACTCTGCACTCACGTTTACTTCTGTCATAACTGATTATTTCAAGTCATAACTCCAGAAATCGTTCTTGTATGCTTATTTGGTGATGAAGATACATTTATTATAATTATTATCAATATTGAAAACTGTTTAATAATAATCATTGGTATGGGATCTGGATAATGGATTGGGGGCACAGGCCCCAACATTTTTTGAACCACTGTTCTAAAGGGAATGCACACAGCTCACTGTTGGATTGCAGTCACGTAGGAATGCATACAGTGGGTTGGTGACCTCCAACATTTAAATCGCTGTCATTGTGAAGGCCCCTTCAGCCAGTAATGCATGGAATTTGTCATAAAACCTGGTCAACCCTGCTTAATACAGTAAATCCTACTGTCACGCTATTATCAATTATGTGGAATTTTGTTAATCTTAACATTCCTTCAAAAAATAGTTTTACTTACTGAGAAGTTCTGCCAATTCTAAGAAGTAATCCATCACCCAGGTTGACAAACTAGTGTATTTGCTGTCAGCTACAGAATGTGAATGAAATATGTATTAGCTTTAAGTCAGATAGATTGTGTAACAGCAAATATAAAGCTAAAAAAGGGACACATGGAGGAATGCTTGTTGGCTTCATCCCCAGGAAGAAAGTCACACCAGAACTAAGGAAATACAGACGGGTTGCACTAAATAAAATGATTTCCCAGAAAGTGTAATCCACTTTATTAGCCGTGGAGTGTTTGACGCTTTGTTATAGGTAACGACGTTCAGTATATGACTGCAAGGAAGAAGCATGTGGTGCAGCAGTGTGATTAATTATAATCAGACTGATAAAAAACAGCTTTGAATTGTTGATTTAATTAACCCAACAACTTTCTGGTGTAACAAATCCAGTCATCTTGTTTTACAAGCGATGTTAAACTGTATGAGAGCGCCATCTGGTGAATATTGAAGATAATCGTATTGAAATTGAGTTAAAAAAAAAAAAAATAGGCCAAATCAGGCTGGATTAATGTTACCCATAAAATTAAATCAACATCAAATACATCAAAAAACATCAAAAATAAATAATAATAAATCCACAAGATATAATAACTTTAAATGCTCAAATATATTTTAAATAATTGGACTATTTCACATTAACCAGAGATCATACCATCTACTATAACGGTAGATTATTGATATTCATTGCTTTGGCCTGAACAGAGAAATATTATAATAAAATCTGAGGAATTCCCTTATATTCTAAATATACACTACTTAACATATTTATTAGACCACCTGTAAAAATAAAATAAAAACACAAATATTTTTGGAATCTGCCAAAAACTTGTTCAATACTAAAAACTGAACTATTGTCATTTATTAGTCAAATAACAAACTGAAACTGAATCGTCTTTATTCACACATACAACCGACAACCAAAAAAGTTTTATATTTCATGTACTGTAGGCTACATGAACATCTTGGATGACATGAGTAAATTATCAGGAAATTTGGTGAATTAATTCTTTAAGGTCACCTGTTTAATGAGACAATGTATGTTTCAGTAGTAGAAAGCACAGTTTTTGTAAAGTTCAAGGAACAATACGAGACCCTGGACCACAAAACCAGTCACATGGGTCAATTTTTTGAAATAGAGATTTATACTTCTGAAAGCTGAGAAGCCTAAATAAGCTTTCCAATGGTGTTTGTTTTGTTTAGGATATGAAAACATTTGGCCGAGATACAACTATTTGAAAATCTGGAATCTGAGGGTGCAAAAAAAATCGAAGTTTCCATTTATGTTCCCATTCACACACAAACATAAATGTTTTATATATTTACAGTAGGAAAGTTACAAAATATCTTCATGGAACATGATCTTTAGTTAATATCATAATGATAATAAAAATCCATCATTGAGATCCACTGTCAATATGGACAATGTGTGCTACAGTATATCTGCAAGATTGGACTTCATGCGTTGCTGTGACTTTGAAAGAATGAGAGGACACAGGATGCTAATTGGAAGCAATGTTTATTCATTTGGAGCACGATTAAAAAAGACACTATTTGCATCTTACATCTGTGTGCATGGAGTACGGGTCAAATACTTCTATACTACAAACTCCTTACCAGTGGCTTAGTGGAAAGCAGTAGCATTAGCAATAATAATTAATTGGCATTTTGCTCTGAATTTTATTAAAGCCTGTTAGATTTGTCCCAAGACTATAATAAAGCATTAAGATACAACTTTGCAACATCACTGAATCACATACAATCAACATTTTTGTTAATAAGCAATCTTTTCTTTGTTGACATCATTATGAGTAAAAGTTTATTGAAATAAATAAACATGGAAGCTCATGTGCTAAAGCTCTCCATACCGTCCACTGCATAAAGAAAATAAGCTGGAGAACAACGAGAACAATGCAAGTATTGTCCTGCTGCATGAAAGAAATAATGCTAACTTGCCCATTTAGAAGACCCAACTGTGCAGATTCTGTACAGTTCAGCAGTAAAACAGCACAAAATCTCAACAGAAGTAGGAAAAGCCATACAGACAAATCTCATTTCTTATTTTAGAAGATTAAAATGTAGTAGAGTATTTATGTTTGTTTAAATCGATTACAAAGTAAATGTACATGTTAAATAATTTTGTATGACAATGATACATACATTTAATACTTGTACAAATGATCAAAAACGATAAAAGTTTTCTATTAGATATCAAAAAAATTCAGAAAATAAACAAAACAAACAGCAGCTTATGCAGAGGGATCCATTGCTTCAAACTGGAGTCTTCTGTGAAAGTAGAAAGGAACATTGATTTTAAACAATGATGCATTGTTAGAGCAATCAATGGAATAATATTCAGTGATTAAGCAAAGCGTGATCCAAACAGCAGTCTGTTGGAAAATAGGCTGCTCATTAACTGAATAGACAAACCGTGACAGAAAGCTCAATCACGTACCATTTCTGAACAAACTGTACAAAACCACAAAAATGCATGAATATGGAATAAACGACAATGGAACATAACATATAGACCAGTTTGCAAGATGTAAACAACACTGGTCCAGAAGCACTTCCTGTTTCAGTTTTTTAACACTACATAAAAGCTGGCATAAACTGAATCAAAAAGTTAAACATCTTTAAGATGTTTTCTTTACATGTGAAATCAAGAAAACAGTTACAAACTGAACCAGGAAGTGTTTCTGGACCAGTGTTGTTTACATCTTACAAAATGGTCTATAGAATACCCAAAATGGTGAAGCAAAAAAATGTAACCATGGATGTCTATTACATTTTCAATAATAAGGATACATTATAGGCCTAGCGTACACAGCAACGATGTACTAAATAGTTTTCCTTTGCGTTTTTCGCACACAGACGACAACGTTGTCAAAGCAATCAAGAGTTCACACGGATCGGCGGAAATGACTAATTATGCTGCCAGGCCAGTAGTTGGCGATGTCAATTTGTAAAGAAACACATAGACTGAACACATACTGTAATACGCATGCGCACAAATTCCTTTTTTTTTGTAGTTTACACAGAGACGAAAGCAGTCTCATTGACAAAAACTTGCAAAGTTTGCGTTTTCAGGCTCCAAACCTCCCCTGAATAAATATCTAATTGCTTAGAAATGCTTCTAATATAATGTAGATGTAATTCAAACAGTAATGAACACCTGTGAAAGTGGTAACATATAAGAATCAAGAATTCAACAATGCCATAGTACAAGCTGTAAAAACTTTTACCTGAATCAGCACAACTATTAAGCCAACAAGCAGACCAATTGCCAATATGCTGGCGATGACAGCCCACACACATACGCCACTACAACCGCACAAGTGATGCTGCAGGAAAAACTTGGCCTTGCTCAGTCGGGCTGCTGTTAGTGGAGGGTAACGGGCGTCATTCAAACTCTCCATTGCAAAAGACTTGATGAGACAGGAACGATGGTGACTCAGCTGGTCAAACGTGTGTCTCCCATGATATCTGCCCATTCCACTGTTTCCTTGTAAAAAAAGAGGTTGAGACAAACAGGTCAATATATCATTAGAAAGAAATATATATATATATATAGAGTTGTATATTACATTGATATTTTATCCAAAATTGAGTGATATAAGTGATATCTAATTTCTTATATTCTAATATCTAAGTGATTCCGTATACAGATATAATCACTTAATATTTAAAACAGTAAGATATTTGTTATAAGAAAAGAAAAATTTATTATCACTTAATTATATATACAATATAATTTAAATGATGGTTTCTAAATCAAAAGTTGAATTCATCCCCACCATTATTTTACCATTATTACTATTCTTGAGTGATTTGTAATTGGTTTGCTTACCCACACCTCCAAAAGGCAAGGTATCGACAGTATAATGCATCAATACATCATTAACAGTAACTCCTCCACTGGAGGTTTCTGTTAACATTCGTTTGATCACCTAAATGGAACAAAGATTAACTATAATGAAACTGATTTGAAATTTGAATGTCTGCCTTCCAAAAAACATTGGTAAAACAAATAATACCGTTTTGTCAGAGGAAAACACATAGAGCGCCAAAGGCTTTTCCTTTGTGTTGATAAAATTGATGGCCTCACTCAAGCCATTAACAGTAAAAATTGGAAGCAGCGGTCCAAAGATTTCTTCTTGCATGATTTTGAAATGGGGCAAAACATCCTTTAGAACTGTAGGAGCTGGAGGGGAAGAAAAAAAAATTACAATTTAGTTTGATCAAAATCAACTTGTAAGTAATATCACTCTTTTATTATTGACAATAAAAGTTGCCCTTACCTATGTAACACTGTGAGCGATCACTCTCTCCTCCAAGAGCAATTGTACATTCGTTCATCAGAGCTGATACTCTGTCGAAGTGACGTGTGTTAATGATTCTGCAATAATCTGGAGAGCTTTTAGGATCCTCTTTGTAGAACTCCTGAAATGAGTTAAGATTCTAGATCATGTCACACTATATCATGGGAATGTAACACAATTTAATAGAAAAGAAAGAAAATACACACCTGCAGTGTTTTTTGAATCTCTTTAACTATCCTATCCTGGATGCTTGGCTCACACAGAATGTAGTCAGGTGCAATGCATGACTGACCACAATTTCCAAACTTCCCCCAGGTTATTCGTCTAATATAAGGGTAGACATTTGGAAAGTTGTTATTTTAACTAATTTTCTGTTTCCCAAAAGCTTTAAATTACTTAGAATTTACAGAGTTAGTAAAAATGAAAATTCTGTCATCATTTACTCACTATCATGAAGAATTCAAATGAAAGTCAATAGGGTTCAAAACAAAACTGGACCCCATTGACAAATATTTTGTATAGCACACAATAGAAACAGAAATTCAAATAGGTTTACAATGAAATAAAGGTGACTAAATGACAGAATTTTTATTTTTGCTGAACTATCCCTTTTAAAAACTGTAAAACATAAAAACTGTAAAATACCGGCATGCCACGGCAATGTCACAGTTCTTGTCAATATAACAAGGGCTTTTCCCACCCAGTTCTAGAGTGACTGGTGTGAGATGACGGGCTGCTGCTTCCATAACCAGTTTCCCCACAGTGCTGCTTCCAGTGTAGAAGATGTGGTCGAAACGCTGCTTCAGCAGCTCCTGGGTCTCTGGAACCCCTCCTGTCACCACTTGATACATCTCCTAAAATTATTCAAAAGCTCGTCATGCTGTTCTCAAAAAACTTACAACAAACATGAAACCGAATAATAAAAACAAAATGAGTTCATGAACCTTATCTAGATAAAGAGGAAGCAGTTCTTTCATAAGTCTAGCAGAGTGCTCACTCAGCTCTGATGGTTTCACCACCACTGCATTTCCTAAACAACAAGAAAAATGCCTAAAATACACGCATACACGCAGATAGCTCAACATGCATATAGATAACATGCCACTTGACTTGAAAGTGGCATGTATGTTTATGCAAAAGTCATGTTGATGTCATGTTGAAAGATGTCATGTTGTCCAGTCTCTCTTTTCCATCTATGCAACTTTTTAAATTTCCGTCCCGACCTCGTCCAGCTCAGTATTATGGCCATAAAAATGTTCTTTAGCCCTCCTCCTCCCCAGAACCACCTGTCTATATGTGTAATGGGGGGTCCTGCCTACTTTACCTTTCTGCAGCAAAAGGATGTATACTAATCCCTGTAATTCTGGGTAAGTTTCAGCAGTAAACTTGTAGCAACATAGCAGATCTAATCCTCCAAGATCAATCCAACATCCATTCTTATCAATAAAAGTTGTCATGACCTTTTATATTCCAATCAATTCTCAATAGACAAAATCAAGTCTCACTCAACATTTTCTTCTGTTTTTTTGTAAGTGGTTTACATTGTGGAAGTAGCACGACTGAACACAAAGTTTCATGTTGGCTGTAATAAGAATAGATCCTAGTACCTGCTGCAATAGCTCCGACGAGGGGCTGCAGGATCATGGCCCAAGGGTAGTTAAAGGTTCCAATTATCAGCACAACACCCAAAGGTTCAGGCTTTATGTAAACATCATCAAGTGCGCTGTTGAGATTCTTCTTCACATGCCGAGGAGCTGCCCAGTCAGCCATGTCACTCTCTGCCAACTTGATTTCACTCTCAATGCCGATCAGCTCAAATAGGGAAGTGTTATACGTACTCTGTTTGACAACAGAGACAATAAGGATTAAAAGTGTTCTCAAAAGGGATGATTTTTATAGTTTAAGGAAACATTGATAATTCAGAATGGCTGCCGTACCCTGTTGAGGTCTTGTTTTAGAGATTGTTCAATGTCTGCTTGGTGTTCAGTGATGAGCCTGTGCAGGGCTCTGAGCTGCTGTTTCCTGTACTGCAGGGGTCTGGATCTGCCCGACTGGAAGACCTCCCTCAACCCATCCACAACCTGCTTCTCCATTTGTAAAGGCGTGAGTTATATCTTTGAAAGAGCGATGCAATGATTAATGCATCCGTGGCCAGGATATAATTATAAAATAGGATATGATTTTAAAAGTCGGTAACACTTTAGAATACGGTTCCTTCGTTAATAAATAACTACACAAGAACTAATGAGTAACACAATATTAACAATATAGTAACTATTATCAACTAACAAGAAACTCTGATTAACGAAATAGTAAGTAATAGCGCACAGACGAAAGTGGTAGTTCACTATTAAGTAATCAATAACTACTATTTTTTTAATACTTCCCAGAGAACTACTGAAAAAAGTTTATTATTAATCTAACTACTAACTAATAGAAACTCTTATTAACGAATTAAGTAATAGCTCACAGATGAAAGTTTTACTAGATACTTCTGTGGGAATTACTAATTATTTGGATTCGTATTATAAAGTGAAGATCATTGGAATTAACTAGTAATTACTCAAGTGTTACTACATGATCTAGTCATGATTTGTGCAAATGTCTGAGATTTTTTGGTGAACTTTAGTAACTTTTAGAAAATGTCTTTAGTAACACTTGAGTAATTACTAGTTAGTTCCAATGATCTTCACTTTATAATACGGATCCAAATAATTAGTAATTCCCACAGAAGTATCTAGTAACACTTTCATCTGTGAGCTATTACTTACTAATTCGTTAATAAGAATTTATTTTAGTTAATAGTAGTTACTAGATTGTTAATAAACTTTTTCAGTAGTTCTCTGGGAAGTATTAAAAAAATAGTAGTTATTGATTACTTAATAGTGAACTACCACTTTCGTCTGTGCGCTATTACTTACTAGTTCATTAATCAGAGTTTCTTGTTAGTTAATAATAGTTACTAGATTGTTAATATTGTGTTACTCATTAGTTCTTGTGTAGGAACCGTATTCTAAAGTGTTACCTAAAAGTCACCTATAACATCAACTATGCAATACATTTTCATTTATTTAGTGCTAATAACATGATTATGATTCATTTGATTATGATGATTCATGGGGTAACGCAGTGCTGTCACATTTGAGTGTGTTGCAAGTTGCTTGAAACTTTCGGAACGGAAGATGTTGTGGCAGAATCATGTGAACAATTCCAGGATTTGCTTTTTTGTCATTGGTGTAGCCTATATGGACACACATGATTAAATAACAATTTACATAAAATAAATAAACATTAAAAATAATGATTATTATTTACTTCTTAATATTGAAACCCAATCTCCTTTTCCCACTTTTCTGCTGGCGTTCTTGTTTGTATCCAGCCTCTGACGGAGACTTCAGATGCCCCAACATGTCAAGAGACGAATCAACGCCAGCGATTTATGCCCAATACATGATTAACTAACTGTACATTTCTGAAATGCACTTTCTGTAAAGCTGCTTTGAAACAATGTATTGTGAAAAGCGCTATACAAATAAATTTGATTTGAACTTTTTGTCGGCTAACAACGCCCTTCAGCCGTTATTCATGATACAGCACAGTCAGCCTCTCTTACAGCAGCCATTAGGTAGCCTACTATTGCTTACATATTTACCGAAATTTACATATAAAAAAATTGAGAACTTTAGCCTCCTCATTTTAAAACACCATCGAACACCACTGATATATGTGTAGGCAACTGTGTAGCAACAATGATGGTTCACAAGCGAAGGACAAGCGTAGTCTACTAGGCTATACTTTTCTTCTGTATTGAATTCGTCATACTGATTGATAATATACAGTTATTCTCAATAAAAGAGCCTTTAAGTAGGCTATGGACGAACTTTTGTGGTATGGCATGCTTTATGGAACTTTTACAAATCGTTGGCTAACAGCTCTGATCATGTTATAGGGTTAATTTAACACCTCTTTTTAGACTCCTCAAACTCAAAAGTAAAGTTAGTCACAAATGTTACCAATGTTACCAGTGGAATTAAAAAGGTTTAAAGTTCGCTGCTTGTTTACGGAGATACATAAACTCGTCCATGCCGCGAGACTAAAGCATCTTTTCATATTTAAGTTATAGGCTACAGTCGATTGCGTGCATACAGTAAATGTATAAAAAAAAAAACATTAGGGAATCTGTTTGTAAAGGTCATGCAACCATTCGGGAAAGATAAACCAACTTCATATGTCTAATACTTACATTAGTCGTTCGTAAAGAAGGTGCTGAATCTGTAACGGCTCCGGTGTAGTGACTTCGAGGGAGAGTAGATCACAAAACAACCACATTTACCATTGTTCATCACACATCAGAGGGCGGCGCATCGGTCCACGCGACACACGTCCACTTGCGAGGGTAAAATCACCACCTCTTTTAAAGAATGACTACAAAAGTTGTTGTAACAACGAATTCAATTGTGCTTATTCAATATGATGCACACATTTCGACTATTAATAGGAGACCGTTGCGCAATATATTGTAACTTTAATGATTCAAAATGTAAATTATTCATATTACATGGCATAGAACTCAGATTCATGCGTTTTCCTTTACATAATGCTAATCACCAAAGCTAGTATATGAGTATTTTACACCATTATGATTGCTTACTAGTTAACAGAACTGCAAGTAAAAATGAATCATCTGAAAGGGTGTACATTCAAGACCATAATATTGATAATATACATGGAAAAATGTAATCATCAACAGCCCTGGGTCAGAAAGACCATCTTTAGGTTGTCCTTCGCTCGTCATCTCAAGAACCTCTGCAAAGCAAAAAACAAATGAAATAATTTCACATAAATGTTTTACAACAAGAAGACCATTCAAGGCACGACATTGATGGCTAAAGAGCAAATGTCTCTATTTTACAATCCGCTTACAAACAATAAAACAGATATTTCATGGCACACTAAATAACAGAATTTCCAATTCTGAGTCTAGCTATTAGGGAGGCAAAAGGTAAATGCTGCAATTTTCTTTTTGAACTTTTTATTCATCAAATAATCCTGAAAAAAGTATCGCAGGTTATAAAAATATTAAGCAGCACAGCTGTTTCCAACATTGATAATAAATCAGCATATTAGAATGATTTCTGGAGGATGGTGTGACACTGAAGAGTGAAGTAATGGCTGATGACAATTCAGCTTTGCAACACAGAAATAAATTATATTTTAAAGTAGGCTATATTCAAATTGAAATGAAAACTATTACTTTTAATTGTAAAAAATATTTTACAATATTAAAAACATATATAAAAATTGATTAAAACCTTTCTTCAAAGTTATACATAAATTTTGAACAATACCATTTCTCAAATATAACTTTTTTGATCCACTTCAAATGTTGACTACTGTTTAGAGAGAGAGAGAGAGAACATCTCACCTTCACCACAAAGGCCGCCAGCACAGCAAGCATAGCAACCTGCGCCATCTGACGCCACCGAGCCAGGTTTACTTGCTTTAAGAGAAAAACACGGGCCCACCGTAACTTCTCCGTTGTATGGGGTGGGTAGCGCATCTGATTCACTCCCTCCATGTTCAGCTTCTTGATAAGACAGCTGCGAAGGTGGCTCAGCTGATCAAAACCATATTTGCCATGGTAACGACCAGTTCCACTATTCCCTGTTACAATAACACAATAAATCCATTGCCTGTGTACTGTTATATTTTTACAACTGACTTAGAAAAACATGAAAATGAATAAAGATACTCACCAACCCCACCAAAAGGCAAATCACTTATGGTAAAATGCACCAGACAGTCATTGGCTAAGAGCGCTCCACTAGACGTCTCTGATATCATCTGTTTAATGACCTGTGAGAAAATAGAAATGGTTTGTTTGCCGTATAACAGTATTTTACAGTAAAATTACATTAAATGTGCCATGAGATCCACAGTTGTTTACCGTATATAGTGTGGAAACTTTCTGTTAACCACAGTAGAATTTTTACAGTCTTTTACCATTAAAATCACGATTATTTTTACATTCTCTACCTACCTTACTACTGGAAGAAAAAACATAGAGTGCTAGTGGCTTTTCTCGTTCGTTGATGAACTGAATGGCTTCATTTAAGCCATTGACAGTGATGATGGGCAGAATTGGCCCAAAGATCTCTTCCTGCATCACTTTGGATCCTGATGCCACATCCCTCAAAACAGTAGGAGCTGAAGCACACAGGAAAAAATAAATGCATGGCCATGACAGCATAACATATTTCCTTAACTTACATGAGTACATACCGATATAAAATTGCGATTCATCATTGTCTCCTCCAATTGCAACTGTGCTACCCTCAAGAAGTGCCATTATCCTCTTAAAATGCCGTTGATTAATAATTCGTCCGTAGTCTGCAAAGGTCTTGGGGTCTTTCGTATAAAACTCCTGTTAAGTGAATAAATAAGACAGTAGTTACGTTTATATGCAGCCAAATAATCATTAACCATTTTCTCAATCAGATTCAACTGTGCAGTGATGCGTATGTTTACATACATTTCCGGAAACAAGGAAATGCGTAACCTGCCGTGCTTGCGCCACAAACGATTTTTGCTTCAATCGTAGAAAACTAGAGAAACAGGCTCCGAGCCTTGCTTATATATGCTAAGCCACGCCCATACTGGCAGGCTAGGACGCTCTGTAAAGGCGCGAGCTGGACGTGATGTCACGTCGGGCTCAGTGGTAGGCGGCTGCAGCTCCCGCAGGGCAGCCTATGAGCACGCTAGACAGCACTGCATTGACAATGAATACAAAATTAAGGATCATTTTTTGACTTCAATATCTCAAAAAGATGAATCTTTCCCATAGCGTAAGCTAACTTACGCAATACATGTTACCTCTTATAGAGATAACCGAGGTTACGTTAGGTAACTGATAAGTTATCATCTCGAATCACGCGCAAGTCGTGAACTGCCTTTCCACATTTGACTCTTTGGATTTCATGTGATTTCTCATTGTGGTGATGATATTATAACTCAGATTAATTAATTCATTTGATCAAAAGTAATTCCATTTAGTAAGATGATTTTCAAGTAATTCCAAACCTCGTGAGGCAGACAACATCATTATGTGATCAAATACACACAACTTGTTAACACACTCCAAAGCGCCATCCAGTGCATTTAATTATAATTGCGAGTTAGTGCTTGATTTATCATGGATTTACTGCATTTACGGACAGTGTATTATTTTATTTTTCGAATAATAATTACAGATTACAGATCGAATATTCGAAAATTTGTGCGCACCCCAAGGGCTCATATAAACAACTTTGAGAATCTGATTATCAGATTGGATTCCTTCAGATATGTGCATGTAAACATACTTAACAGTGTCAAAATAGCATCTAAATACATACCTGAATGCATTTTTGGATCTCATTAATCACTTTGTCTTGGATACTGGATTCACAGAGGATGTAATCCGGTGCAATGCAGGTCTGACCACAGTTCATATACTTTCCCCAAGTAATGCGACTAATGGTGTAAGAACATTGTTGAATAAATTTGTAGATTGTTATTTCTTAAAGGGATAGTTCACCCAAAAATGAAAATTCTGTCAGTATTTTTTTTTTTCTAGTTGTTCCAACCCTGTAAGACTTTTGTTCATCTTTGGAACATCTTCAGAACACGCACAAAAAGTATTCTCGTCGTTTGATAAACTTAAGATTGAGCCACTGTAGTCACTTGGACTATTTTAACAATGTCTTTAATAACTTTTCGAGGCCGGCAAGTTTCAATCCCTCAAGAAGCCTATGGACTAGTATGGAGGAGTGATCCAGCTCCCAGATTTCATCAAAAATATCTTAATTCGTGTTCCGAAGATGAATGAAGGTCTTACGGGGTTGGAACAACTTTAGGGTAAGTAAATACTGACAGAATTTTCATATTTGGGTGAACAAACCCTTTAATTAGAAATCACATACACCAAGTAGGGATCACTTGATTATTCTCAAGCTCAACTGGGCTTTTCCTAAACTACTATATAACTACTTAGTTTTAGGTTTTTATAACTCATTGCAAACTCACCGGCAGGCAATTCTGATGTCACAGTTCTTGTCAATATAACAAGGGCTTTTCCCACCCAGTTCTAGAGTCACAGGTGTGAGATGACGAGCTGCTGCTTCCATAACCAGTTTCCCCACAGTGCTGTTCCCAGTGTAGAAGATGTGGTCGAAACGCTGCTTCAGCAGCTCCTGGGTCTCTGGAACCCCTCCTGTAACCACCTGATACATCTCCTGAACACATTAATAGAGATAGTAAATGGAATAATGAAGTAATATATATATATTATATATATATATATATATATATATATATTTTTTTTTTTTTTTAAAGGAGTCACTGAATGAAGCATTACAGGGTCCAGGTAGAGAGGCAAGAGCTCCATAATTTTGGCTGTGTGAGAGCACACTTCTGATGGTTTCACCACTGCAGCATTACCTACAGAATCAAACATTTTAGAGGCAGTTTACAGATCCGATGAAAAACAGCCTATTATTGAATGGTTGGGTCTGATCTCTGCACAGCATATGATAAGCTAATGACAATAGAAGAAAAACCTTATTCCCCATTCAATATTAGTACACACAATATTAATAATAGAATCTATAGAGCTTATATTTTGATAGAAAACTACAGACTACTAATCACATGACACTGAAGATGTTAACAAAAGGTGGATTTATGTTTTACCTGCAGCGATGGCACCCACGAGAGGTTGCAGGGTAACTGCTATTGGATAGTTCCATGCCCCAATGATGAGCACGACACCCAGAGGTTCTGGCTGTATGTACACATCATCTGAGATTGTGAGAAGGTTTTTATTCACAGGACGAGGAGCTGCCCACTCAGCCAGATTGCTGACAGCCAAATTGATTTCTCCCTCCAAGCCAAGGATCTCAAACATCTGTGTTGCATTTTCACTCTATGAAAACACAGCCATTACATTCAATACAAAGTTTAATCCAAATAAAACAAGCAGAGATTGCAATTTTGATTCACCTTATAGAGGTCTTTTCTCAGGGCATCAGTAATGTCTGTTGCTTTTTCGGTAATGAATCGATGTAGGTTTTTAAGTTGTTTAATTCTGTACTCCAGGGGTTTAGATACTCCAGTCAAGAAAGCCTTCCTGGCCTGCTGAACGACCAGCTGTTCTCGAGACATTCTAGAAAATCAGTCTAATCTAGATTGTGAGTCTATGAGTATGAGAAAAAGGAAAAAAGTTTGAAAACCCTTTTTTTTTTTTTTTTGAAAAAACTTTTTTTCACATTTATGACTTTGTTTACATTAGGTATTCCTATGAAATTTACCTGAAAGATTTCAATGTCACACCAGTTACTTTTGATAGCTGATGCTCAGGGTTGTATAGATTTGTAGCTATAGTACGGGAAAGTTTTACTTTACTTGAGTACTATAGTTTACTTTGTAGGTTATCATTATTTTAAAAATACTTAAAAACTTAAACATACATAGCACATTGGGCTGACTCTGAGGTAATTACCAAAGAACAGAATTTAGCCTTTGTCTACCAAAATGCTTTTAGGGTAATACACTGACAACAGAAGCCATGCTCAGGCAAGAAAGCCGGATCTTAAGTAATTCATGTAGGGTAATTGTTTGCAGTGCTAGTTATGATTCACCACCATGACTCCAATCTTTTGAATCAGTTTTACCTCGGTTTTGTCAACTGCTGGGCATGACTTCAGTTCCAGCAATAGAATAAACATGTCTGACAACAAATAGCCCAGCCTAGCCTAGCCTAGCCTGAATAAGAGTTCAGTTATGCAACATATTTACATAACCAGCATATTAAGAAAATTATGATTAAACATTCTAACCTGCTGCTTTACAAAGTTATTTGCATCAAATAGAAAGTTCTAAATCTTTTTGTAAAGCTAGGACACACTTGAGTTCAAAAGCAAATCAATTTGATATGGTACGTTTACAGGCCTAAAAGTTGGAAAATACGTTTATTCTTCAGTAAAGTTTTGACACAACCACACTTTAAGTGTAATTTCTCTGTGCATTTTACATTCGTAATCTCTGACGAAAGAACCGTACGATAACGTTAATTATTACCAACAAGATTGTGCGATGCTAAACTTCCAGGGAATTCGGATCAATGACACATTAACTTTCCAAAACGCTGAGACTTGCACATAAAATCACACCGTTATTTTGAGTCACATGTAATACGCAAAATAAACTATCAACAAACAAACTCCTCCATGTTACCTGCAGAGGCACATGAAAGCTCAGAGAGCCCAATGCAACATTGAGTCATATTCTTATTTTATCGTGTTTTGTGTGCGGCCACAGAAGCGTATCTAAAGCGTACATAATCATTAATTGCACGAATTCCAAGAAACTGCGCATGAGATGCTATTGGACATCGGACCCGACGCGCTCTATAAAACAATTACAATGATTTACTTAAATCTACTAATAATTATAAAAAGGTTTTGATTTGCCCATCTACTATTCTGTCATTCAGCGCTGATAAAAGTATCAAGCACCACGTGACAACAATGTGTACGAGCTGGCTCAGATGCGGCGTGGAAAATAATATAATTACTTTTGTGCCAATAATAATGAACGGAACTTTTCAAGAAACTGATAAAAATATAAATTGAAACTGAAAAAAATATATTTGAAACTGAAAAAGAATAAATCACAGTCACATTTTTTAATTCGTTCTTAAAACACTGCATGTTTAGCTTCCTATTTCTCCAATTTCTTTCGCTGACCTGAACCGACCTGAACTTACAAATGCGCTTCCAGAGCTTTCAGTTACGCTCCCTGAGTTTTCTTCTTCTTGCTTCGTCTTCTTCTTCTTAACTGCTTAACTGCGGATGCGGACTTACTTAGAGCACTACCGCCACCCTCCATATGTTGTGCTTGATGATGATCACTATAGCTCAAAAACAAAACAAACAAAAAAAACCCCTACACTCGCGCAATGATCCTAGTGTTCTTTAAAAATTCAAACATATATTTTATTATTCTAAGGTCGGAAGCTTTTAGACAAAAATCTTTCTTCGTCTTCTTTCTTCTTCCTTTGTGTTTTGAGGCAGCTGGCACCCAAAAAGTTACCTTACTGCCATCTGCTGTTCATTGTCTTGACACTTCATATTTATTCGTCTTATCAGTCTAGTCCTCGTTATAAACTAAAATAAATTTCTTTCCTTGTTCACTTTTTCCATATTCTAATATATTTTTACATTATATTGTCCTATGCAAATTTATTGTAAATTATGTTTCAACTCTTGCCCTTCTTGTGTAAATTTCCTGCATGACATAAAAATGTCACTGACTGTTTCCTCCTCTTGACATTCATCACCATTGACCTGTGGGATGTTTTCCATTTAATTTAGGCTACTATGCCCAATCCCAAGTCTTGTTATTAGGCCTACCACTTGCTCTTTCCTTCTATTTGACATCTTTCTTATAATACCCCCTTTATTTTGAATCGTGTATAGATGTCTTCCTTTACCTTCATGACGAATAACAAATTCGTCAGCTCTCTTAGCATGGAGCTGAAGCTCTGTCTTTAAGTGAAGGAACAATTTGAGGGTGAGTAAATGATGACACAATTTTCTTTTTTGGTTGAACTATCCCTTTAACCAATGTTAATATGTCCTTATTGCAAAGCGACTCACCTTATAAAGATATTCGAATAAATATTTGAAATAGAAAACAAGACAAAAATATTTTTGTAGAGTTTTACCACCAGATGATGCCAGTGAGTTAAATGTAAATATCTAGCTTTATAGTGTTCATACAGCTCGCCGCCGCCAGGGGGAGCACAGAGCGCGGTCAAATTTGTTTTGTACCATTAAAGATAAACTAGCACTAGAGCCTACTGGCAACAAACTTTGTAATTATCCTTATTCAACAAACATTTCAAGTGCATAGTATTTTCGGTCATATGAGTTATATTCTTTCTTTCTTTCTTTTTAACAGATAACAGGATACAATTGATCTGTTTTAATAAAAGCTGTATTTCTACAGTTTCAGACAACACAGATGCCCTTGGTAAAGCACACATTGATTAAAACATTTTGTCACTGAAAGTCGAGGGATCATGAACCTTCAGGCTGCATCGGACCGTGATCATGTCGTGTTGGGCTGTGATAGGCTGGTTTATTCGGAAAGGGAAAGTTGCAAATGGAAGGGCAAGTACATTCTAATGTTCCACAGGTACATGTGCTCTGTACTAGTACTACTCTAATGGATCATCTGTACACAGTTCTGCTCACACCTGGATAAGGAAGTCCTACAACTACAGATATGCATGGATTTTGTATAACAAAGTGGCAGAAAGGACATCAGCCTTCTCTTTCGGTACAGTAAAAGGCTTTGTAGGCTCACTGGGGGCCGTTATTAAAAATATAAACACAAGCAGAGAGCAGGAGAGAGGGAGTGAGGTGTTCAAAACATGTACAAGGAAGAGTAGACTACCCAAAGTCATGCTCTCAGTTCTTCAGTATCCTGAAACTGGCCACTGCATCTGGGAAGAGCAGTTACACAAACACTGTCCTGAGCACAGTGGACGAATGGGGGAAAGCTGAGCCTGGCAGTGGGCCGCACTCTCTCCCATTTACCTGCAACATCCACGTCCCGCACGGTCAATCTATTGTCGTACACAAGATATTCATGGGCGTTAGTCAAGAGCTGCCATGCAAAGTGAGGTCTCGAGTCTCGAAGGCCTCGAAGAACCTGTGGAAGTTGTCCTATTACCTCTACAACAAAATAAAAAACCCTAAAAACAAGGAAATCTTGTGCTCTTCATTTGAGAGGCAGGGATGGCGACGGCAGCATCTACCTTCTTCAATCAAGCTGTGCTCTCTCGCATTCACTCCAAAATAAAAACACATGTAGAATGTCCAAGTATTTACAGCTCACAGATATCAGTTAAAAAAAAGCTACAGTATTAATATGAACATAAAAACGGTTCAGTACGGCTGAATCAAAAGGTAAGTAACGACTCAAGTATTTTGACCATTATGTCTGATTCGCCACGAGGCCGTTATGAGACGCCAATGTCCGACCTGATGCTTACGGGCCTTCCAGACACTCATTTTCAGAGGATTATAGATATGGAAATGAGAAGAACCGGGAGCCACACGCTGATCTCGGAGACGGATGGAAGGATCGTCATCTCCACCTTCTCCAAGGTGTTCTGGGACAAGCGTCTTTCACATCTGCCTCAATAAAGTGCATTTGCTTCAAAAACTGATTTTGTAAATACTACAGATTCCTCTTAAGTTCAACCACTTGACTGTGAATGTGTGGTACCAGTAATTACAGTCCAACACTGGGCTGCACATCCGCCCCATGTCGTCTTTCAACACTATCATCAATAACACTAAAACCAATAAATAATCAGAGCAATAGAGTGCAGTATAAAACAATAAGTTGAACTCATTTGCATCGACGTTCATGGCTGGGCCTTTGAAGATTCCCAGTCCAAAATCCTTTCAGTTTATGTAAAAAAGAGAAATGATGTCGCAAAAAACAGAAGATGAATCTTTTTTTCATGCTATAAAGTCTCTGTTTAGTTTTCATCTTTGGTAGTGAACTTGTGAACATCCTTCTCAAAAGGTCATCTGCAAAAAATGTAATACTTGGTCTGTTGCTTGTGATTGAATGGAATCAAAAGGAACTGAAAGTGCTTTGACTGCTACAAAACAAAAACAAGGGATGTTTAGTCTTTGTAGTTTGAGAAGATGATGTCCCTGGAGTGAAAGTCTTTATTCGTACAGGGTAACGGTGCAGTAACACAAGGCTGAGATCCTCCGGTCCACACTTGCCTTGTCTGTGCAAAGGAAACACAAACATAAAAGATGTAAGAAGCAGTAAACACATAAGTCATATAAACGAGATGTTTTAACAATTCTGGATAGAAATTATTCCAGCAGTGTTGTTTTAGTATTATTTGTACCACGTACCAGTCATTTTTTTTAACCCTCTGGTGCAGTTCGTTCATTTTGACTGATAATTTTTTTAGTGCTGTCAAACGATTAAAATATTTAATCGCGATTAATCGCATTAATGTCATAGTTAACTCCCGATTAATCGAGCATTTTTATCTATTCTAAATGTCTTTTGATTTCTTTTTGTTACATTATTTTTTTTCTCATTTTAATGCTCTTATCAACATGGAAAAGTGGATTGGCTTGTTTAGTGCAAATGTTTTTATTATTATTATTATTGAAAATAACATTGGAATAGTGCTCAATTTCACACTAACATATAATCTCACACAATGTAACACTGTCTATCAATAAAAGGGTGAAAGAAATACTGACGAGGTCCTGATATTGACGAGGGGGTGGAGAATTCGCATTATCTGTTTGTCTGTGTGTGTGCTTGGCAGGCCATAATCAAGTGGTGTTTCAGACTGGACGTGCTGTGATGATGATAGCTCATTTCACAACGACAAACCACACAGATCACTTGGTCTTGTCAATGGGACAATTTGGCAACTTTTTAAAAGTAACTTTCCATTCAGAATCTTAGGGCATCCATTTCGGCGTCTCGCGCTCATCATCCACTCAAAACGTAACGTTACTATTTGGCCCGGCTCGCAAGGCGAAACGAGTGTGTGCGGCACAAAACGTCCTCGCGCTGCGCTCTAAAACCCATTCATTTCAATGGCTTGCGCCGTGCGAGGATGTTTTGTTGCTTCTTCGACCAAAGCGCAAGCGGATCTAGACCGTAAACAAAACAACAGGAACGCCGCAAACACACGTTTCGGCTTGTGAGCCCGGCTTTGAGTGGACGACGAGCGCAAGACGCCAAAATGGATCAGGACGCATGCCGCGTCCTGTTGCAAAAGCATGTGAAAAAACTACAAGTTTGCTAGGACAAAAAGACCGTTAATCGCGCGATAAAAAAATTAACGCCGTTAATAACGTGTTAAACTGACAGCCATAATATATATATATATATATATATATATATATATAAAATGTTTTGCTTCATTGAAATGGTACGAAACTTGGTAAAGGTTTTGGCACTTACTAAGTGAACAAAAAAAAAAAAAAAAAGGAAATGAATAGGAGACGAATTTCATCTAGTGGAAACATTTGGTATTGCACACAAACTCTTACTGAAAGCTCATTTTTTCAGATATCCAGCTCAAATATGGAGCACTACTAGTAAAACATGTTTTGTAAAATATACATTTCATATAAAA